CGTGTCAACGTCAATCATAAGCGCACTTTTCGCACATCAGCTCAAAAAATAGATCAGAAGTGAAATTAAAGAACGCCACTGTCAAATCGCCGTATCCGATTACATGTTATGATGTATGTTATGATGGCAAACAACAGTGACTTTAAAACTGCATATGACATGTTATTAAAACATCAAAATAATTATACCGAACGGGATTCACTCATCTTAAGACAAAATTGATACATTCGGATCGGATTGATCCAAATAGTCCCTGTAACACTGTTTATCTCAGTTAAAATGACGCAATGGAGCAACTAGTTGACCATTAATAGGGATAGTAAATAATGGTATCTTTTGCGAAAACTTAAAATATCTACCTTACCTATCAGTATGGGCACACAAGTCTGTAAACTCACTATTGCGAATGTTCTTCCGCCGCCTTCTTGGAAATACTCTGTGAATATCACGAAAAATAAGCTTGAACCAGCAATATCTCCCATATATATGGCCTGTACCACATGACTTCCAGCCACGATGATCCATGCATACAAACCACCATCTGCGTTGGGCTGTGATGCCATATTATTGGTATTTCAAGCTGGATGGATATGTTGAAAAAACAACATGTTAGTGTTTTCATGTGTTGAAAACAACATGGAAATGCACCCCGTCATACAAAGCGTTGAATTGTCACTAGGGCTACCACTGTTACGATCACTGTTGACAGTTTTTATGTGAATGCTAGATTGTAAACTGCTCATTAATTCGTCAAATTTTGTTGAACTCATAGGTTTCCTATCTCATTCACTCTTCAAAGAACTGCAATCCTAGGCGCACAAATTACTGTTGACAAAAATGAACGAAGTTTGCTATGTCTGTGTTTCTTAGCAGCCAAGACCAACATGCCTACAACGCCCGTCAATTACTGCAAAGCAGGTGTATACAATCACAATTTAAGGAATCAAAAGAAACACGATATTAAATGAATATCCCCCTGGCTGTCATTAATTTACATTCAAATTAGTAGTAATCGTTTATAACGTTAAAAATTGCTTGATATTTCTATATACAATTATGTATATTTAAACGTGTCATTTAGGTATGATATAGGTTATTTTGAGATTTGTATTTGAAACAATAAAGTCCATTAAATTAACATAACTATATCTATTTGAGCAACCAAATAAATAATTGTTTCCTATTTATTTCCTTCAAATATAACGGTAATAATATGAATGACTATGGTGCCATGTGCTACACTAGTCGACATACTATTCAACAACTGATTTGCGAATTGATTTCCATTACACAGCAGTCACTTGGGCATGTCGTGACATTTGAACGTTTCATGTCAGTCTTTACATGTCACGTGACCCCCTCTCTTGATTTTACCTCTGCGGGAGCGTTTTTTCAGCACATATTTAAATGACATTTGTCTAAAAACGTACTTTATATGACTTATATAGTTATAACACACACAGTGTCTAGCGAAAATATCAAAAAACAAAACTCATTTGCAAAAACTATTTTTAAACTAAAAACGAAATATGTGTGTGTTGTGGGAAACAGTTTTTTTTTCTTCAATTTTTCATTAAATTGACTAAATTAAGGAGGGTCATGCTTATTTTAAAATAGGGTTCATTAACTTCTCCGGCGTTTGATGGAGGTAGCGTTCGCTAGTTTCAACGTATTTACATACCACACTGAAGGCCACTTCACTCCAGTGCAGATAATGATAACTATACAGTAAGTATCAAACTGTAAGGAATAATAATCGTTGTTGTGCTCCAGTTGACAACACCGCATTCTTTCAGACCGAATTCCGGATTCCGGCAAATAGGATTGGTCTGTTCCGGAAACTCTCGAACTTTGACCTTGCAGCTCACATACACAGTGTCGGGTGACCTACACACGTACGCATAAAATCGTACGATATCGTAACTGCCG